GAGGGGCTCCGCGCGGAGACAGGGCCAGGGCCAGAAGCTGGGGTCCCTGGTCGCGCACGCACCCGCCAGGGCGGCCATCCTGCCGCCCACTTTCGAAGGCGGGTCCGGCCCCCGCAGGCCCGACGCTGCCTTCCTCCTGAAAAGCCGGTGGGGACCGGGGAAGCCACGCCGCCGGGAAGCGGGCCTGGGTGCAGGCTTCGGCTCCGGGCAGGGTCGTGGATAGATACTCAGGGTCCCGGGCGAACGTCGGGGCAGCTAGGGGAGCAAATGGCTGTCCACGAGCCAGCGGGTGCGGGCGGCAGTAAATCCTGGAAAGGGGTAATGGTCATCCAGAGGCCAACGGGAGCCTCTTGGCAGTCATTCATCCATCTCTTGGCCTTCCAGACTTGTTGAGTGTTCCCTGAACGCGATTCCGGGTGCCCCGCCTGCCCTGTCACTGTCCTGGGGTACATGCGTCCCTGGTGCCCATCGTTCTCCTAAACCGACGCCAAATAGCCGAGCGAGCGTTTGCAGCCTGGCACTGACTGGTGGGGTCCAGGAAGCTCCTTGTGCCTTTCCACCTCCATGTTTGTTTTAGGTGGGATCCCAAACCTTATTCTTGGCCTTCCACTACCGTCCACAATAGCTCTCTCTTCCTACATAGCAAGGTTGTCGTTGGGCTCTTTCTCTCGAAAGCATCTGCATGTGATGCGTAGCGTTTAAAATTTTTATTTGGCCCTTTTAGTAAGGAAAACACACAACACTGCCATGTGTGCTTTGTGTTTTAAAATAAATCTCTTAATTTCTGTTTTTGTAATGATTGGCAGTTGATTGCTTGAAATAAATATTGTGAAAATGAGGGTCAAGGTATCTTGGTGACTATATTGGTATCCTTGAGGAACAGAAATAGGCGTGGGGAAAATTGGCATAAATATAGTGTGAGCTCTAAGATGTTATATTGTAGTCAGGTGAAGATAGCGAGATCAAGGGGAAAAAAAATAAACCCATTCACAAAGGAAGTGACATCATGGGTAGCCAGACTGAAATTTTGTGAAGTTGAAGTAATGGACGGACATAATCACTTTTTTAATATTTGGTTTGGCATAAGTGTAAAATGGAAAGAACACTAGACCAGGACTTGGAAGACTTGGTGTCTGGTTCAGGCTCTGCTATGGACTAATCATTTCAACTGTCTGAATATCCTTTTCTGCACCTATAAAATAATCATTTCTAGGATCCCTTCCAACACTAACAACCTCTGCTATCAAGAGGAAAAAACAGTGTTATTCAGGTTCCATTAGGTTGTGAAAATAACTTCATGTTTGAACTGTATGTTTCCTTAAATAAGGCAAAGTTTTCAAGGTAGAATAACTGGTTAATTTTTATGCTATAGTACAAAATTACTTGAAACTGCAAGATTTGTGACTTTAGGAGTCTTTCAGGGAAGCCATGAATATATAGTCAAGTAAGAAATATACAGTTTTAGGGCACATAGGTATATGCAAAGTCAAAATAGAATTAAAGGTTATCACCACCAGTTCATTACCTTGTAACATAAGAGCTTTTTAAAATGTTCCTTTTGAGAAGTATCTTCTGAGAGTCAAAAAGAAAATAGACTTAAGTTCATTAACATGTTACTTGCACAGGTTGACCACCTGTAGTAATCTGTGAAACAGAAAAGTACTATAGAAGTGGTCCTAGTTGTATATCTAATTGTACATAAAATTCCTAGAAGTTATTCCAAAGCAAGGCAAAATGGAAAATAAATGAAACAAAATTCGGTTTAGATAAAATAAAATAGTACAAGAAAGAATATATGTCTCTTCACATTTAACATGAGCTCCTCAAGGAAAGGACCCAAGAGTCTTAAAAAAAAAAAAAAAGAAGTATTATTTTTATCATGAGTGGCATGTTGCAATTTCCAAAGAAAGTCAAAGGCTAGGGGGAAAAAAAAAGATTTTTCAATTTCTACTCCTGATTACAGTGCTATATACTTCACATATTTTCTCATTTTCATCCCAGTTTTATAAGGCATTATTCCCATTTTGCACTTAGTGATGGTTTTGTAGATGAGAGTGTCATAAAATACTAACTGGAAAAAAGTCCTCCTTATTCAAATTTCAAATACTGTCACTTGATATGAAAGACAATCATGTGAGGATTAGATTCTATATGACCCCAAGTAATCAAACCTAGGAGGGAAAAGAGGGAGACATTCCAGAGTTCATGTTGTAGGGAGGAGCTTTCTAACCATCAGAGCTGGTCCTTGTTGGAATGGAGAAACAACTTCCCTGCCTTAGAGAAGATGTTTGGTACTAGGCAGCACCTTGTGAGACATATGGGTCAAGAGGATTCAGAATTTGGACAGGTTGGAATCAGCTCTTGGATGGGCTTTCATACTGACCTTATGCATGTTCTGTAATTTAAATTTTAATTAAACAGTCTGTAAAATAAGGATGATTCTCACCTCACAAATACAGAGCATGGAACAGCACCAAATGATGGTGCTTGAATGTTTCTCCCTTTTTCCTTTTTGAATTCCTAACTTTCACTTTTATCACTACATTATTTTTAATTCTTAATATTTATCAACTTGCAACTTGAGTAGATTTGTTACTTTTTCCATTATTTTATCATTACACATTTCAAACACATAGAAAAGTTGTAAGATATTATACAGTGAATACCCATATGTCTACCACCTAGATTCTGCAATAAAATTTTACTCTTCTCTATTATGTATCTGTTCATGTATCCATCCCTTCATCCATACAGAAGTCCATCTTATTCGAATGCATTTCAAAGTAAGTTGCAGATATCACTATAATTTACTCCTAGACACTCCAAACATACATGCCATTGATCAATGGTCAGTATTTTTTATGGATCCTTTTTATCCTTTTGAGTAAAATTTAGATAGAGTGAAATGCACTTATCTTAACTGTACCATTCAGTGAGTTTGACAAATGTATACAGTGATATAATACAAATATCTACCGAGATATAGAACCATACCAATAAAGTTCCTTTATGTATATATATACTTTGTACTACTATATACATTATAAAATAAACACAAAAATTAAAAGAGATGACATAATATAAATAGTATTTTATGTTTTAAAATTTTTTGTTGGCAAACTATCATTAACAGTAATAGATTAAGCCTATATTTTTTAAGTCTTAGTTTTTGAAATACTTTTTTCCTGCTTCTTGTGAGATCTGACTAGACAGATGGTCATAGTTTTTAACTTCTAAAGAGATTTTCTGGAATAGAAATGTCAGCTCAACAGTTTCCTTGTTTTCTTGTGCTTTTATTACCCTTGTGCAAGATTCTCTTTAGCCTCTTGTTCATTTGGTGAGAGCTAGAAGTAGATATTCCATAATTCTGCTCAACCAGACACATACAAAGGACGGTAAATCACAGCATACCCAAGGTGAATAAACATAACCATCTGAATAAAGATACTAGTGTCAATTTATATATTAAATATTAGTCAAATTTACTTTTTAGCTAAAAGAATAAGAAATTAAATTAGAAACTCTGCTATTTTCTTTCCATAATCCCAGAATCATCTTATATATCCCCTGAGATGTGAGCATTCTGCTTATGTTACACCTGCTCTAAAGGTGAAAAGAACTAAAAACGCCTCAAAACTCTTGCGCTCCAACTACAGAGCTTTTTTGAATTTACAAACTTTATATGAGAATTCTCAAACATTACCAGTAGGAGAGTAAATTGATACAATCACTTTAGAAAAGTGGCCTGATTGACTAAAGTTAAACACTTGCCTACCTTGTGACCTACTCTGTTCTACAAATGTACCCAAGAGAAATGAAGTGTTTATGTTCACCAACAGATATACAAGAATGCTCATACATAGCATCTTTGTTCGTAATAGAGGACTGGAAACAACTCAAGTGTCCATCAACAGGAAATGAATAAACAAACTTGTAGTATATTCATTCAATGGAATACTACTCGGCAATAAAAAGAAACAAATTACTGATGCCAACAAAAACTTGAATGAATCTCAAAAATAAAAGGTTATGTGAAAAACAGCTG